GGGAAGCTGAGGCAAGAAAATTGCAGTGAGCCGAGGTTGCAGTGAAACAAGATCGCACCACTGCATTCCAGCCTGGATGACAAAGCGAGACCCTGTCTCAAAAAAAAAAAAACAATAATCTTTTTCAAAGCTTGCTATTTCTTGATACTTGGGATGACTCTCCTTACTTTTTTTTTTTTTTGAGATGGAGTTTCGCTCTTGTTGCCCAAGTTGAAGTGCAATGGTGTGATCTTGGCTCACTGCAAACTCTGCCTCCCAGGTTCAAGCAATTCTCCTGCCTAAGCCTCCCAAGTAGCTGGGACTATAGGCATGTGCCACCATGCCCGACTAATTTTGTGTTTTTTCAGTAGAGATGGCATTTCTCCATGTTGGCCAGGCTGGTCTCAAACTCCCAACCTCACATGATCCACCCGCCTCGGTCTCCCAAAGTGCTGGGATTACAGGCGTGAGCCACCACGCCTGGCAATTCTCCTTACTTTGTTAGGCATCCAGAAAGAAAACAGTCTGTTTACAAAGAGATTTCTAAGTTATCAGAATTTTAAAATCACAGTAAAACTACCATTGTGTATTAGTTAATATCAATATACACATACTATTCTTGGCCTAGGCAATTAACTCTTTGTCCCAATAAGGGCCAGTATGTGAAAATAAAAGCATTGTGGCTCTTATGGAAATGTTAACAGATCGACACAAAGGCTTACATACTACTTACATACCAGTAAAATGCTCACTACTTCACAAACCATGCAAAAAAGATGAGCTATACAACTTAACCAGAAATTGAGAACGCACCTTTTCTTTAGTAGTTGGTTTGTTATCTAGTGAAAGAAGTCTTAATGCTAGTACTATATGCCAAGCAAATGCCACTCTATAGATAGATGTGCTACACATCCACTTTATAGATGAGGAAACAGGCTTAGTAAAGTTAAAATGATCTGCCTGATTATGGAAGAGAAGCCCCTTGTAAACCTGGCTCCCACTGCAGGGCCCACAAAGCTCCTGATACAGTGAACTTCAAATCCTTTGAAAAGAGCCACTTTCAGCTGGGCGCGGGGGTGGCTCACACCTGTAATCACAGCACTTTGGGAGGCCGAGGCAGGCAGAATAGGAGGTCAGGAGATGGAGGCCATCCTGACCAACATGGTGAAACCCTCTCTCTACTAAAAATACAAAAATTGGCTGGGCATGGTGGTGGGTGCCTGTAATTCCAGCTACTCCAGGAGGCTGAGGCTGGATAATTGTTTGAACCAGGGAGTTGGAGGTTGCAGTGAGCAGAGATCGCACCACTGTACTCCAGCCTGGGCGACAGAGCGAGACTCCGTCTCAAAAAGAAAAAAAATAAGAAAAGCCACCACTCTCTTCACACTGACCTCCCTGAGTAGCAAATGTTAGCATATGGGTCTTAGAACTTTCATCAATCTGCCTTTATGAAGCTGAGGATGAGTTTCAATAGGCTGCTCACCCTACTATACTGTTAACTCTTCCTACATTCAACCCAAGTGAGACCCTTGGGAAGAAAAAGGGATGGAGCAACAAGGCAAGTGTGAATGTGTAATATATGTAAAAACCCTTACCAGGGACAGTTGTGGGAAAGCAACAGCAGAAGACTGGAGAAAGACCTTGTACCAATTACTTCATTCATTAAACACACCAAATCAGATTATCAAAGGATTTATATATTCAAGATAAACTCCCCACATATCCCAGATGAGCTAGAAAATTCCATGCTACTCATCATCGACTCTACCATAATAAAATCAATGCTTAGAAAATTCATTTTGTGGTCGGGCATACTGGCTCACACCTGGAATCCCAGCACTTTAGGAGGTCGAAGCGGGTGGACTGCTTGAGTCCAGGAGTTCAAGACCAGCCTGGGGAACAAGGCAAAAAACCCTGTCAATAAAAAGAAAGAAAGAAAGAAAAAAAAAAACCAGCTGGGTGCGTGGCATGCACTTGTAGTTCCAGCTACTCCAAGAGGCCGAGCCAGGAGGATTGCTTGAGTCCAGAAGGTTGAGGCAGCAGCAATGAGCCATGATGGTGCCACTGCACTACAGCCTCGGCAACAGAGCAAGACCCTGTCTCAAGGGAAAAAAAAATTCATTTTGCTTTGTTGCTGATAAGGAGTTTTGCAGGAAGTGGAAAGAGGGTGAATAACTCACCAATCCAAATATGAAATACCCTTCTCCAGACTCAGAATCTTCCAGATCTGATGCTGCGTCAAAACAAAATGTGGCGGGGCATGATGGCTCATGCCTATAATACGCTTTTGAGAGGATGCAGGTGGTGTGGTGGGGCAGGTCTGTAGTCCCAGCTACTCAGGCTGAGGCAAGAGGACCGCTTGAGCCCAGGAGTTGAAGGCTGCAGGGACTGTGATCATGCCACCACACCCCAGCCTGGGAGAGAGTAAGACCTTTTCTCAAAACAAAAAAACAACAGGCCGGGCATGGTGGCTCACGCCTGTAACCCCAGCACTTTGGGAGGCCAAAGTGGGAGGAATACTTCGGCTCAGGAGTTCGAGACCAGCCTGGGCAACATGGTGAAACCCCGTCTCTACTAAAATACAAAAATAAGCTGGGCATTGCGGCGGACACCTGTAATCCCAGCTACTCAGGAGACTGAATCTCTTGAACCTGTCTTGTAGGAGGCCGAGGTTACAGTGAAAGATCATGCCATGGCACTCCAGCCTGGGCAACAGAGCAAGACTCCATCTGGGAGGGGGGAACACAGGCTGGGCACAGTGGCTCATCTGTAACCCCAGCATTTAGGGAGACTGAGGTGGGAGGATCATCTGAGCCCACCCTGGGAAACGAAGTGAGGACTCCATCTCATTTTATAAAAAACAAAGTAACAGCAACCGGGTGCTGTAATCCCAGCACTTTGGGAGGCTGAGGCAGGTGGATCATGAGGTCAGGAGATTGATACCACCCTGGCCAACATGGTGAAACTCCGTCTCTACTAAAAATACAAAAATTAGCCAGTGTGGCGGCACACGCCTATAGTCCCACCTACCTGGGAGGCTGAGGCAGGATAATCGCTTGAATCCGAGACGGAGGTTGCAGTGGGCCAAGATTGCACCACTGCACTCCAGCCTGGCAACAGAGCAAGACTCCATCTCAAAAAAATTAAAAAATAACAAAATGCCATCATATTGCTTCAAAGCCCCACGTGGCCAGAGAGGTCTCTCAACTCTTCCCTAAATTGCACAAAAGTATATGCCTTGCTCAACATACAGTTCAACTGTTTTAAGTTTCTTTCTGTTAACAGAGGAAGCAGAGGCTTACTACGAGATGTATCACTTTCCCTTGGGTTTCTTCTCAGAGCTTCATTAAACACAATAAAAGCTTAAAATCATGCCCTGGCACCAATGAACACTGTACTGTGTAACTCAATTTATCTTCCTGTCCAAACATCTGGTGGTGGGACGCAGCAGCTCACACCTATAATCTCAACACTTTGGGAGGCCAAATCGGGAGGATTACTTGAGGCCAGGACTTTGACACCAGCCTGGGCAATATGGTAAGGAGACCTCATGTCTATTTAAAAAAAAAAAAAAAAAACGGCCGGGCGCGGTGGCTCAAGCCTGTAATCCCAGCACTTTGGGAGGCCGCGAGGAGCGGGCGGATCACGAGTCGGGAGATCGAGACTATCTGGCTAACACGGTGAAACCCCGTCTCTATTAAGAAATACAAAAACTAGCCGGGCGAGGTGGCGGGCGCCTGTAGTCCCAGCTACTCGGGAGGCTGAGGCCGAAGAATGGCGTGAACCCGGGAGGCGGAGCTTGCAGTGAGCTGAGATCCGGCCACGCACTCCAGCCTGGGCGACAGAGCGAGACTCCGTCTCAAAAAAAAAAAAAAAAAAAAACAAAACATCTGGCCACAGTGGCTCACACCTGTAATCCCAGCACTTTGGGAGGCTGAGGCGGGTGGATCACTTGAGGTCAGGAGTTCAGGACCAGCCTGGCCAACTAAAACTACAAAAATTGGCAGGCGCGGTAGCACAGGCATCTGTGATTCCAGCTACTTGGGAGGCTGGGGAAGAAGAGTCACTTGAACCCAGGTAGCAAAAAAAAAAAAAAAAAAAAAAACAAAACATCTGGCCACAGTGGCTCACACCTGTAATCCCAGCACTTTAGGAGGCTGAGGCGGGTGGATCACGAGGTCAGGAGTTCAAGACCAGCCTGGCCAACTAAAACTACAAAAATTGGCCAGGCGCGGTAGCAGGCATCTGTGATTCCAGCTACTTGGGAGGCTGGGGAAGAAGAGTCACTTGAACCCAGGTAGCAGAGGTTGCAGTAAGCCAAGATCATGCCACTGCACTCTAGCCTGGGTGACAGAGACTGACTGTTTCAAAATTCACTAATTCCAGGCCTGCTACTGAATCAAAATGCACTAATTCCAGGCCTGCTACTGAAAAGGGATACGCATATTAAAACTATTAAGGGGACTTGTGGTTGAGAAGTAATTACTATTTAAAATCTTGTGTGAATTGTCCAATTTCTTCCCCACCTCCCACCAAGCAGTGTATGCTTTGGGTTACTACCCATACTGGATTGTTACCTCAAACATGCTGTGACTTTTCTACCTACAACTGGTCACCTGTGATAAATACATACTTTTTTAAGACGGAGTCTCACACTGTCGCCTGGGCTGGAGTGCAACAGCGCGACCTCGCCTCACTGCAACCTCCACCTCCTGGCTTTAAGCAATTCTCTTGCCTCAGCCTCCCGAACGGCTGGGATTACAGGCACCCGCCACCACACCCGGCTAGTTTTTGTATTTTTAGTAGAGACGCGGTTTCACTATGTTGGCCAGGCTGGCCTTGAACTCCTGACCTCATGATCCACCTGCCTCAGCCTCCCAAAGAGATGGGATTACAGGCGTAAGCCACTGTGCCCAGCCTGAGAAATAATCTTGAAAAGCCTATTAATACACTTGCAGTTCCAGCAACATAAATTTGGCTTTCCTACATTCTGGATATACCAATAACAAACAAAGGCATCATGGTTTTTAAAACTTTATTTCAACATTAACTATGCTTACAGAAATACACTCATATTGGTTAATAGAATGCAATTTAACTTATCCTACACAATTTGGACCAAAAACTTGGTACATGGTTTAAGATTTTAAAAAAGGATTTGCAATCTGGTTTATTTTTATCTATTACAAATGTATAAAAGATCTTCCATCAAATGCTGCTAAAGAAGGCAGCAAGAACCTTGAGAAATTTACCTTTGGTTTGCCTCAGAAAAGTAACACGTATTGCACTGCATAAGTTTATAAAATTGGTGCAACAAAACATTGTTGTAATGTTTCAATGCCAGTTTAGAAAGTTCAATAACTAATGGATATGCAAGGGGCTGGGAGGGAACCTATGTACACATGTGAAACTGTAAAAGCTAACTGATTTAGTTAATATTGCATGTAGATTGTAAATCTACACAAACCAAGATTCAGATAATTTTTTCCATCTGAATTAACACTATCTGTTCACTTCATCTGCTGAGGTCAACCAGGAAACTAGGAACACCAGTTGTTAAGTTTTTCTAACTTACGTAAAAAAGAAAATTAACTTTCTTCCTCAGCTTTTCAGTCCAGAAGTGACAGTATACTACAGGCAAGGTATTCCTTCCATTGTCAACATTCATAGGGTGACATGCGATGAGGTCTACTTGGGTTTTAATTTGTATCAGCACTCATATGCAAAATAGTCTCCAAAGTTAATTACCACATGACTTTAGAAGTGACTCTAAAAAATAAAATGGCCCTTCTTAGAAGACTAGAGCAAAAGATCCAGCCATACTTACAAGTCTTATTTTTTTAAAAAAATGCAGCCCCTTGTGAATTACACAATTTTAAAAAAAGTAGCCCCAGAATAAGAAGCAGCTCTGAAAAGAGGAAAAAATATAACTTAAAATATCTTGAAAACCAATGTGAATACAGGTTCAAAAGATAGTTAAGAGATTCATTTTCATAAGACTACCTAAGATTAAGGCTTATAATATACGCTAGTATTTCAAGTTTATCACTAATTACTAAACATCAATTTACAAATAACATGTTCAATTTTTGTTCTTTTATCCAAAGGGAAAATTCTAGGTTAAATTCTATCCAGTGTGGGGGAGGGGGACTAGAAAATAAAAATATTCAAACAGTTCCATGCAAATATCACATTTTTCAAATGGAAGAACTTCCACCTAGACCAGAAGTTCATACTGCTAATGTACTTTTCATTGAAACAATTTTTAGTAAGTACAAATACACGGCATTAAGGTTCAGAACCTAATATAGGCCTGACAATCAAGTCCTTATTTTCTGGAAGAAGGCCTCAAGTCCAATCAATTTCCAGTAACAATGTTTTTACAAATCAATCTAATAATAAGGGGTTTTAATTTCCTTCATGTTTTTGTTTTTAGCACTCTAGTCTTAAGACTAGATTAGAATTCCCCAAAAGGCAAATGGTTTTTCTTTGCAGTATGAAAGAATCCACAAAAAAACCTCTTCCCCGAACTAATTCCTAATAACCAATCTGTGCTTAAGATGAATCTTTTTCTATACAATGTAAACGGTAACTTAGGTAAAATGTACCCATGAACATTAAAACTAGTTGTTAGAAAGATTTAACTAGCTTTATAATTTAAGTTTTAAAACATAAATATTTGCAGCTTGATCTTCTGTTGACAATGATTGTCAGAGCCTAGAATTCAACATTTACAACATCCATTCATGCACACAAAACACACACCATTATCACACAACTTACTCCTCATGTCTTAAGAGAAGAATCTTCTGCTTCTTTAAATCTTTGGCCTCCCAGTCAATTCCATGTTCAAACAACTTTTAACTCAAACTTCACTCTCAGATTTTTAACAAGCTTTCCACCCACACATTATTAATGCTTTTCCTAATCTTTCATGTTGTACTGCCAAAATCTGAAACCTGCCTCAAAGAGATCATCAGATTTTTTTAAAAATGATATATAAAGTGGTTATTTCAAAACAGAATATGGGAGGTCAGAATTCAAGATTCCCTAATGGGATCATATTTTATTTTACTGCAATTAATGACTGCTATCAGTAAGAAAAATCCTCTATTGGATTCTTTCATACACTTTGGCAACTGGCCAAAGAACCTACAAAAATGTTTTGAAGTACATGCCCTTTTTCATACAAAGTGCCCTCATAGGAACACTAGGATAGCTGCAATTCATTTGAGGCCTCACCTGTAGAAAGAGGCTATCACACAGACAGCCAGGACACCCACCAGTTTGTGGAGATCCCTGAGAAAGTATGATTTTTAAAAATCTGGACTGTACTTGTTTCACCAGCCTTTTTCACTGTATAGGAAAGTTGCAGCTGGTCTACCAGCACTCATACTACCTCTCTTATCCTAGGTTTGCCGCGTAATAGCTATGGCTTTGGAATCTCCCAAGTGATATTCTATAAATGAAGGAATAATTATGTCTCCTAATTCCAGGTTTGCAGTTTCCAAATAACACTTACAGTTCTTTATTGTAAAGTAGCCATATGGACACCAACCATCTATGAGAAAAGGTTTTCCTCAAGCATTTAACACTCTAAAATTAGGAATTAGCTGTACCAAAACACACGGAAAAAAAAACAAAAAACTGATGGTTGGTATTTGAGATAAAAATTTGTTCGATATGGAACCTAGTGGTTTATTTATTGCAAAATCAAAACTGATAGCTGTGAATTTACTACATCCACTCAAAATAAATAAGTTATATGAAATACAGATTCTGGCATAGATATAAGATGTAAAAATCAAAATCAATGGATTGAACCTGCATGTTTCATTTGCTCACAAACTTGCACACACTATTATTCTGCAAAATAGACAACTGCAGCAAAGAAAAAGAAAACTGCCCTTTTGCAAACAAGTCTAAAAGCATCCCTCCAAAGACGCCAAACAAAATAAACATGCATATATATGTATAAAGTGTTACTGTTCAACACAAATGCTATTTCTAGGAAAAATTTAACTGCATAGGCAAAAAAAAACAAAAACAGAAACCAAAAGAAAAAAAAATGTGCAACATCTTAAGCCATTAAAGCACCAAAATAAAAAACACACCAAAATCACTGTTTTTATGATGATTAACATACACAAATAAAAAATATTGATCAAAACTCAGGAAGTAAATACTTGGACTGACAGAAATGTCTATTGTTGGGACAATTTTCTTCAATTTAAATGTCTTATCTCTAAAAAAAAATCTTAAAGTGCTAACTTTATATAAAGCAGGCAAATTCTTCAAGTAATTTGCTATTAAGTAAGCCAATTTTTTATAGATCTCAATAAAAAATGAATAAACTAAAGTGAAACAGGAAGATAAGACATGGAGAAAAAAATGACAAGTTGTAGCTGGATAAAGCAATAAAATGCTGTTATACCATCTTAGGCTTCTAATTTCAATTAAACACATAAGCTAACAGATTTAGGTATCTGCTGGTTTAGTACACTAACTCTCTTATATTTGCTAAAATTTACACAACAATCAACAAACAGGTATACATAAAAAGTCCTAGGGAAAAGAATGCCACTTAAAAATCAACATCAGATACTAATTAAAGCAATCTTAAAAGGTTGTCTGCTACTATAAATGAATATAAAATGTAATATACCTTACAAACTAAGAACCGAAACCTTGTTCAAAGATTCATTACTCCTGCCCTTGAGCTGCTTCTTCAAGATAGTACACATTAACCAAATGGCGATTGAGGTGTTTGCTGTAATCTTTTCCCTTTCTGAAAGAACGATCACAGAAGATACAAACAAAATCTCCCTTAGCCGCTTTGACTGCCAAGGCTTCCTTTGCATTTTTTCTGCTAGATTCTTGTGGAACTGGCCGAGCCCCATGCAATCCAGAATCATCACTACCCTCTGACATGTTGTCACTTAGGTCACTTCCTTCATGGCTGTGGATGCCTTCATCTTCATCAATTTCCTGAGACTCATTTACTGCCATGGTAGCAGGAGGTGATGCCAGTGCAGTTTTGGACACTGCTTCATGTTCTTCTACTGCTGAAGGGGGAAGCACTGGTGAAACTGCTTCTTCAACTGTTGAATTTATACCAGGGAGATTCTCTCTTATGTTCTGATCGGTGTCCATTTTCATTTCACAAACCATAGTGTCAGTCTGATGTTTACCATTTAAAGTTTCACCCTCTGGCGTATTCAAGTATTGTCCAGAGGATGAAACATTGGTAGATTCGTTGATATTAGCAGCAAGACCAGGTAGGCTCTCATCTGCCTCTTCTGCTCCTACTTTCTGAAGAGGGACTTCTTTATTTCCTTCACCTATGTTGAGTAATTTTTGGTCTCCTGATGCCTCTTCTCTTAAATTTTCCTTTGGCAGCGGTGGTGATGGTGGTGAGAGATCCTCTGCGCTTACACTTTCCTTTAGAAGCCAGCTATCTTTAACAGGCACTAAGCCAACTTCAATAAGGACTTGCTCCTTCCGTGCCCTTTCACTCTGCATGTTAGATTTTTCCTTTTTATCTTTTCGGAGAGGCGGCTTTTTGGAAACTGACTCCATGTGAAGGGGAGGCTCTCTGGGAGGAAGTGGCTCCCTCTGATCAGGCTCCTTCTGAACCACCCCCATGGGAGGAGATGCCTCCATCTGAACAGGCTCATTCTGGACCACCTCTATGGGAGGAGACAGCTCTATCTGAACAGGTTCCTTCTGAACCACCTCCATGGGAGGAGACAGCTCTATCTGAACAGGCTCCTTCTGGACCACCTCCATGGGAGGAGACAGCTCCATCTGAACAGGCTCCTTCTGGACCACCTGCATGGGAGCAGGTTCTACCTGGGCAACCTCCATCTGAGCAGGTTCCACTGGAACAGGCCCCATTTGGGCAACTTCCGTCTGAGCAGTCTCCATGGGAGGAGGCAGCTCCATGTGAGCAGGTACCATTTGGGCACCCGCCATCTGAGGAGGCTCCAGGGGAGGCAGCAGCTCCTTCTGAGCAGGCCCCTCCTGAGCCACCTCCATCTGAACAGGCTCATCATGAGCAGGCTGTATCTGGGCACCCTCTATCTGAGCAGGATCTATGGGAGGTGGCGGCTCCACCTGAACGGGTCCCTTCTGAATCGCCTCTGAGGGAGCAGGCTCCACCTGAGGAGGGTCCATCTGAGCAGATTCCTTCTCAACAGGTTCCTTCTGAGGAGGCTTACTGCTTTTCTTACTTGATTTATTTTTCAGAGTTTTCTTCTTTGTACTTTTTTTCAAGCAAGTATTTTGCTTTTTATTCTCCTCCACTTTGCTGTCACCCTTTGGCACTTCCTGACTATTATTTTTGGATTTGCTTTCTACCTTCTTTTTCTTTTTTGTTGAAGATTCCTCATCATTCACAGCATCATGTAAAGAATGGGTGTCAACTTCCAGCTTCCTTTTGCTTTTCTTAGTTTTACTGAATTTTTCTGAATTGCTTCCTGTATGCACATCCATTTCTTTCGTCTCTGTTACTGATTTTCGAGTTCTGGTAGTCACCTGAATCATTGACACATTATTAGAAGGCTTTTTCTCTTTTGAGACATCTCTTTTCTCTGCTTTGACGGACTTTTCGTTTTTCTTTCCAGCCACATCCCCTTTTATTTTTGTTTGTTCTATTTCTGTTTTTTCATTGGTAATATCAGGCAAGTCCACCTCTCGTTTTTTGGTTTTCTTTAGTTTCACTTTTGAGACATCCATTGTTTTATTAGGACAAGTAGGATGCTTAGATTTGAAGTGATACTGTAGATTACACTTCTTGGAAGCTGCATAGTCACACACAGGGCAATTGAACTGCCGTGGGTTCACATGTAGCTCTACGTGTTTTTTGAAGTTGCTTCTATCTGCTGTTTTGTAATCACAGTGTGGGCAATTAAGAGGTTTAGGCCCATTGTGAACCTGTCTTGCATGGCGGGTTACTTCGTGTTGATTAGAGGCCACGTAACTGCACTGATCACATTTAAATGGCTTCTCACCTGAAGACAAATCAAAAGTATGAGAGAAGACATAGATTAAGACAAATTCAAGATTAAAATATAAGGAACTGTATATGTAAAGTAACAACAAAGACTATTTATTGAAAATGCTGTATCATGCACCTTACATTTACCATATTTATTTGTATAACATTTCTCTTATCCTTTGACATTGATTCTCAAAAGAGAGGAATAAAGCTCAGTCAACCACAAGCTTCAAAAAAGTTCAAGTTAGAGTCCTCAAGTACTATTAAAGAACAGAGATTCTTTAAGACATACACAACTATTGGCAAAGTTCAATTGAGCTCTGGATGTTAATTTGGGGGAAAATTATCAATTTTAATTGTTTGTGTGTGTTTAGTTAAAACAAATGCCTAATGAAGTAGAAAATAAAATTCTGGCCAGGTACAGTGGCTCACGACTATAATCTCAACTCTATGGGAGGCCATGGCAGAAGGACTGCTTGAGCCCAGAAGTTACAGAACAACCTGAGCAAAATAAATAAAAACAAAAATTAACTTTGGGAGGCCAAGATGGGCGGATACCTTTTGGCCAGGAGTTTGAGACCAGCCTGGCCAACATGGTGAAACTCCATCTCTACTAAAAAATACAAAAAAAATTAGCTGGACATGGTGCTGCACACCAGTAATCCCACCTAATCGGGAGGCTGAGACACGAGAATTGCTTTAATTCAGGAGGCGGAGATTGCAGTGAGCTGAGATCGCACCACTTCACTCCAGCCGGGGCGACAGTAAGACTCTGTCTAAAAAAAAAATTAGCCAGACATGGTGGAGTGCACCTGTAAAAGTCCCAGCTACTTGGGAGACAAAGGCAGGAGTACCGCTTAAGCCCAGGAATTTGAGGTAGCAGTGAGTTGCGAATGTGCTACTGTACTCCAACCTGGGCAACAGAGCAAGGCCCTGACTCAAAAATAAATCTATAAATAAAATTCCCGGCCAGGCATAGTGGCTCACACCTGTAATCCCAGCACTTTGGGAGGCCAAGGCAGCGGATCACCTGAGGTCAGGAGTTCAAGACCAGCCTGGTCAACACGGTGAAACCCTGTTTCTACTAAAAATACAAAAAATTAGCCGGGTGTGGTGGCAGATGCCTATAATCCCAGCTACTCGGGAGGCTGAAGCAGGAGAATTGCTTGAACCCAAAAGGTGAGGTTACAGTGAGCCAAAATCGCCCCACTGCACTATAGCCTGAGCAACCAGAGCGAAATTTCGTCTCAAAAATAAATAAAAATAAAATAAAATTCCCATACTCCCTCCACCCTAATTTTCTTATGGTAAATCTTGAGAAAAATATCTTTCACTCTGGGCTATACTCCCAGATCCTAGATGCAAAAGTTTTGAAATTCTGCTTTAGCCTGAGCAAGGCTTTTTCTTAAAATTTAGTCCTTCTGTCCATCATGGCAAGAGCTGAGTAAATTTTCACTTAGCAAACTTCCTGTGCTAGCATTGCTATTTTAAAGCAAAAATACAGGCCAAGGTAATTATTCAGAAAACTTTCCTGATTTCCTCCCCTCCTCTTTCTATAAAATACATAAAGGAACTAGGTAATGAGAAGTGGCACACAAATAGATATGGTATATAAAATAAGCAAAGTCACAATCACTGATACATACAAAACCAGAACCACCCCCACCCCCAAATTAAAGGCATAAGAGTAATACATTCTACCTGAATACATACCCATCTAGATCACACTCTAGTAAATATTACCAAATGGTATCCATACCCCACTGGTCCAATGGAATGCATAGTAGAAAAACGGAAATTGACATTTATGAAAATTCATCTCAAACATTCTCAAATTCATATCAAATCTTACTAAAACTTTTCATAAAACAAAACTCAGACATTAGGTAAAACCATGTAGATGTTAAGTTTTACATGATTAGAAAATGCCTGGTGATAAAATAATCACCTTATCCAGGTAGTCAAATTGGATATTCAGCTGACTGGACAATTCTTCTCCATGTTGGTCTACTAACAGATTTATAAATATGCAAGTTTCTACAACATGCTACATTACTCTAAACCTGGTTATATACTGTCCTCTCCAGTGAATGATTTAAATGAAGACAAACATTTTCTTAACATATATGGACATAGAACATAGAAAGATAGGTAGCATAAGGCCTAAGAACTTCTTCTAGATAGAGCTAGACTGGGAGATAAAACAATGAGCTCTGCAAGTTGCTTACTCTGAGACTTTGAGCAAAGTTCTGAAACCTCTCTCGAGTTCAATTTCTTTTTTCTTTTTTTTGAGACAGAGTTTCGCTCTTGTTGCCCATGCTGGAGTGTAATGGCGCGATCTCGGCTCACCACAACCTCCGCCTCCCAGGTTCAAACGATTATCCTACCTCACCCTCCCTAGTAGCTGGGATTACAGGCACGTGCCACTAAGCCTGGCTAATTTTGTATTTTTAGTAGAGATGCAGTTTCTCCATGTTGATCAGGCTGGTCTCGAATTCCTGATCTCAGGTGAGCCGCCCTCCTCAGCCTCCCAAAGTGCTGGGATTACAGGCATGAACCACCATGCCCAGTCTCAATTTCATCTATAAAATACTCTCTAAGTGTTGTTAGCTATAAATAATCTTATCCATGTAAAGTCCTGAACATGAAGCAGAGCAAGAACTCAAAATGAATTATCTATAATTGTTCACTTTTGGAACCAACTGGTAACTCTGAGTATGGATAAATAAAAGGCGGACTTGGCCGGGCACGGTGGGTCACACCTGTAATCCCAGAACTGTAGGAGGCATTTTTGCAAAAACATAAAATTTTGGGAGGCATTTTGTAAAAACAAAAAAAAATTAGCTAGGCATAGTGATGTGCATCTACAGTCCCAGCTACTTGGGAGGTTGAGGCAGGAGAATCCCTTGAACCCGGGAGGCAGAGGGTGCAGTGAGCCGAGATCGCACCACTGCACTCCAGCCTTGGCAACAGAGCGAGACTCCATCTCAAAAAATAAAAAAATAAAAAAGGCTGGGTGCAGTGGCTCACGCCTGTAATCCCAGCACTTTGGAAGACCGAGGCAGGCGAATCAAGAGGTCAAGAGTTGGAGACCAGGAGTTCGAGACCAGTCTAGCCAACATGGTGAAACTCCATCTCTACTAAAGATACAAAAAATTAGCTGGGCATGGTGGCACGTGCCTGTAATCCCAGCTACTCGGGAGGCTGAGGCAGGAGAATCGCTTGAACCCAGGAGGCAGAGGTTGCAGTGAGCTGAGATTGCACCACTGCACTCCAGCCTGGACAACAAGGTGAGACTCCATCTCAATCAACCAATCAATCAATGAGAAGACTCTTACGTATCCTGTCTTTCCTACATTATGACTAAATAGATAAGTATAATTTATCTCTCCTCTTCAAATTTACACTAGTAAAATAATTATAATTAAAATAGCACCGTTTTATAACTCTAATGAATAAGGAGATCTATACAGCAAGCAAGCATCAATCAAGGTACAAGGGTCTACCTAAGGAATGGTGAACGGAAAGGGAGGATGTAGAAATTTTCTGTTTAAAATTTGATGGCATGATTTATTTGTTCCATTGTTTTTCTCCCATAATTTTTACTTTATTGCCATTAAATCTTGCTTATATCATGTTCATCAAGATTTTCTAATTAGTACCTACCTGAATATTAATCTTTTTGCCCTGTACAAACAATTTTAAATTCTTTTTCCCAATTCTAGTAACAGCTTCTCTTCTTTATAAATCTGCCAGTCGTCTGGTTCTATGCCTCCGAAATGAATTTATAGGTGTAAGCCAAGACAAAAAGGGAAAGCGTTCTGCAAGATTTATACATATGTAACAAAAATATTTTTAGAAGAATGGCCAGGCATAGTGGTTCACACCTGTAATCCTAGCACTTTTGGGAGGATGAGGTGAGGAAGATTGCTTGAGCTAAGGAGTTTGAGACCAGCCTGGGCAACCTAGTAAGACCCTGTCTACAAAAAAAATTTAAAACTTAGACAGATGTTGTAGCACAAGCCTACAGCGCCACCTACTCCAGAGGTGGAGGTGGGAGTACCGTTTGAGCCTAGGAGGTCAAAGCTGCAGTGAAAAATACACAAATACAAGCCTCTCAATTTTTTTAAAATTTTTGAATTAATTCTATTAAAAATAAAAACAAAACAAAAATCTAGAGAGAATGGCAAATAAATTTTTCTTTTTTTTTTTTTTTTGAGACTGAGTCTCTCTCAGCCGCCCAGGCAGGAGTGCAGTGGTGCGATCTCGGCTCACTGCAACCACTATCTCCCAGGTTCAAGTGATTCTCCCGTCTCAGCCTCCCGAGCAGCTGGGATTACAGGCACCTGCCATCATGCCAGGCTGATTTTTGTATTTTAGGAGTGATGGGGTACCACCATGTTGGCCAGCCTGGTCTTGAACTCCTGACCTCAGGTAATCCGCCCACCTTGGTTTCCCAAAGCGCTAGGATTACAGGTGTGAATCACCGTGCACAGCCAGCAAAGAAAATTTTTAAGTAAAAAGTAATGGGGGCATACAATACATTACCAGCAATAAAATGAAGTCCAATAATGCAACATGGATAAATCTCAAGAACACTTTATAAAAGAATGTTCTCAAACTAGGCACAGTGGCCCATGCCTATATTCCTTAGCACTTTGGCAGGCTGAGGCAGGTGAATTGCTTGAGCCCAGGAGTTCAAAACCAGCCTAGGCAACATAGTAAGACTCCATCTCTACAAAAACAAAAAACAAAAAAACAGGCATGGCAGCGCACACCTGTAGTCCCAGCTACTTGGAAGGTTAAGGTGGGAGGACTACCTGAGCCCAAGAGGTTTAGGCAGCTGTAATTGCACCCACTGCACTCCAGCCTAGGTGACAGTAAGATCCCATCTCAAACAAACAAACAAAAAATGCTAGGTAGGAGACAAAATATCATCCAGGGGAAAGACTGAGTGGAAAGGGGAAAGTGTTTCTGAGCAGAAATATTCCATCTCTTGTTCTTGAGTGATAATCAAATAGGTGAAAGCACAGTCACTGTGCTGTACACTTAAGATCTGTGCATTTTTAAATTTATAAATTATACCTCAATAAAATATTGTTTTTAAAATTTATTCTACAAAGGCTCTCAAACCATTACAATATCTTTCAAACAATCCCAGCTATTTAAAAGAGTCCCTTGGAACCAACATTATCAATAGAAAAAATAAAAAATATGTATGTCTGGGCACAGTGATTCATACCTGTAAGAGACAAGAGAACTGCTTGAGGCCAGGAGTTAGAGGCCAGCCTGGGCAACACAGAATGACCCAGTCTCCATAAAAAGAAATAGGATATTGGCTGCACGCAGTGGCTCCCCCCTGTAATCCCAGCACTTTGGGAGGCTGAAGTGGGCGAATCACAAGGTCAGGAGATTGAGACCATCCTGGCTAACATGGTGAAACCCTGTCTCTACTAAAAATACAAAAAAATTAGCCTGGCACGGTAGCACGAGCCTGTAGTCCCAGCTACTCAGAGGCAGGAGAATCGCCTGAACCCAGGAGGCAGAGGTTGCAGTGAGCCGAGGTCGTGCCATTGCACTCCAGCCTGGGCGACAGCGAGACTCAGTCTCAATAAATGAATAGCATATTTAAATAAAAATAATAGTCCCAGCCAAGCGCGGTGACTCATGCCTATAATCCCAGCACTTTGGGAGACTGAGATGGGTGGATCACCTGAGGTCAGGAGTTCAAGACCAGCCTAGTCAACACCTCTACTAAAAATACAAAAATTTGGCCGGGCATGGTGGCTCACGTCTGTAATCCCAGCACTTTGGGAGGCCAAGGCAGGCAGATCACGAAGTCAGGAGATCAAGACCATCCTGGCTAACACAGTGAAACCCCATCTCTACTAAAAATACAAAAAAATCAGCCGGGCGTGGCGACGGGCACCTGTAGTCCCAGCTACCCGGGAGGCTGAGGCAGGAGAATGGCGTGAACCCGGGAGGTGGAGCTTGCAGTGAGCAGAGATCGCGCCATTGCACTCCAGCCTGGGCGACAGAGCAAGACCCTGTCTCCAAAAAAAAAAAAAAAAAAATTAGCCGGCATGGTGGCAGGCACCTATAATTTCAGCTACACAGGAGGCTGAGGAAGAATCTATAGCTTGAACCCGGGAGGCAGAAGTCGCAGTGAGCCGAGATCGCGCCAGTGTACTCCAGCTGGGTGACAAGAGCGAAACTGTCTTGAAAATAATAATAATCATCATCCCCAATTAGCTGAAGTGGTGGCATGTGCCAGTAGACCTAGCTACTCAGGAGACTGAGGCAAGAGGATGGCTTGAGCCCAGGCATTTGAAGTTGCAGTAAGGCATGATCACAACACTGCATTCCAGCCTGCACAACAGAGTCCCCAACTCCAAAAACAACAACAAAATTACTTATTTGTGAGCTTGTATCCTATAATATGTAATCTGAAACTCAGTATCTTCTTAGTACTAAGATTGGAGACAGCAAATACTTGTTTTTAGTACCCAGCATACATACAATAGCTAGTGGCTACTACTAGTTTTTAAGATACCATTAAAATACTTGCTATACTGTTAACAACAAATACTAAAAATCATTTTTAAAATATAGCAGGCAAAACTCAAAACATTTTGCAAACCCAAATACAATGGTTTCAGGCAAAGATTATCAACTGGTATAAAACATCATAAACATTTAAACAGTGACAAGACAAAGTATTACTAATTGAACAAAAGGATAAAAGTATGGAGTCATTCTAAATACAGTGACCTAACATTATATTAATGGATCAACCACATGTGACTTTAAATGAGGCTTATCATTTGTGAGAAAGATTATCAGGCATTTAAATTTAATTTACAATAATTAAATTTAGTTTACAATATAAGGGACAGAAGAAAAGCTAAATGACACCATGAGAAAACAAGTGGACATATCCAGAAGGAAGGACATTCTACAGGAAAAAAGATCTGTAAAATGGGGATAATAGAACTCACGCAACATAAAACAGTTAGGAAGACTAAAACTAGTTAACTAATATAAAGCTCTTGGCCAGGAGCAGTGGCTCACACCTGTAATCCCAGCACGTTGGGAGGCTGAGGCAGGCGGATCACCTGACATCAGGAGTTTGAGACCACGCTGGCCAACATGGTAAAACCCCATCTCTACTAAAAATACAAAATTAGCCAGGTGTGGTGGCGCATGCCTGTAATCCCAGCTACTTGGGAGGCTGAGGCAGGAGAATCGCTTGAACCCAGGAGACAGAGGTTGCAGTGAGCTGCGATCACACCATTGTACTCCAGTCTGGGCAACAAGAGCGAAACTCCATCTCAGAAAAAAAAAGTAGTATTACTGCTACTACAAAACTCTTAAATATTTCACTAAAAAGCTAGAGTACAACTATCAACAGGACATGATGCCTACCCTCCAAAGTCTGAGATTGCATCCACGTTACCATCAGAGAATGAAACCAAAAAAACACCCAAAAATAATAAAACCAGGTTTCTGGTTAAGTGGCACCACTCAATGGCTTAGAGGTTTAGGAAAAAAAAAACACTTAAAGTACATTAGTGTGACAACCATGTAGGGTCAAGAAAGGCTAGCAAGCATACTATGGGACACCTTCATAGCTGTTCAAATAAATCAGAATCTGCAATATAATCAAGTCTGATTATCAAGTTTTGTTACTAACTCATGGCAGCAATGTCCAGTAGAAATATAATGCATATCACATATGTAATCTTAAATTTTCTAGTAGTCATACTACAAACGTAAAAAGGAAACAGGTAAAATTAATTTTATTACTTTTTAAAGCCAATGTATATAACAGTTTCACCATATGATCAACTTGAAAAATAAATATTTAACATTCTTTATTTTTTCTCTAACCTGCTTCAGAGAAAGATAGTCTTTTCTTCATACTGTTTGAAATCTGTGGCCGGGCACGGTGGCTCACACCTGTAATCCTAGCACTTTGGGAGGCCAAAATGGGCAGATCACTTTAGGCCAGGAGTTCAAGACAAATTACAAAAATTAGCTGGGCATGGTGGCACCTGCTTGTAATCCCAGCTACTGGGGAGGCTGAGGCATGAGAATTGCTTGAACCCGGAAGGCAGAGGTTGCAGTGAGCTGAAATCATGCCACTGCACTCCAGCCTGGGGCACAGAGTAAGACTCTGTCTCAACAACAACAACAACAAAAAATCTGGTAAGTACATATTTTATAAGTATCAATTTAAACTACTGCTGCTTCGAAAGCTTAACGTGGCTAATGGCTACTCAGCTGAATAGCACACATCTAAGGTAAGGTAATTACTAACTTAAGGGGGACAGGCCTACATAGGCTTTTGTAACAGCAAGATTTAAGACACTTTTCCCACAGGGATATACTTTCTAAATCTGTATTCTAATCAGAAGTGGTAGTTCGGCCAGGCGTGGTGGCTCATGCCTGTAATCCCAGTACTTTGGGAGGCCAAGGTGGGCAGATCATGAGGTCAGGAGTTCGAGACCAGCCTGACCAACATGGTAAAACCCCATCTCCACTAAAAATACAAGAATTAATCGGGTGTGGTGATGTGTGCCTGTAATCCCAGCTACTCAGGAGGCTGAGGCAGGAGAATCGCTTGAACCCGGAGGCGGAGGTTGTGGTGAGCTGAGATCACACCACTGCACTCCAGCCTAGGCAACAGAGCAAGACTGTCTCCAAAAAATAAAAAATAAAAAGTAAAAGTGGTAGTTCACCAAGAGTCAATTGGGGCTACCCATTCAAGCAAGATCACCGATGCTAACATTACTTTTTAACTTGGCCACTTACATACTTTAATAGGGACTTCTTTATCGAGATGGAGTTTTGCTCTTAATGGCATGATCTTGGCTCACTGCAACCTCCACCTCCCAAGGTTCAAGCAATTCTCCTGCCTCAGCCTCCTGAGTAGCTGGGATTACAGGCATGCACCACCATGCCTGGCTAATTTTGTATTTTTAGTAGAGATAGGATTTCTCCATGTTGGTCAGGGTGGTCTCGAACTCTCCCAGCCTCAGGTGATCTGCCCACTTTGGCCTCCCAAAGTGCTGGGATTACAGACTTGAGCCACAGTACTGGCCAATGAGGACTAACTCTGAGCGGTGATGGTGACTGTTTCAGTCCCTGCAGTGGACGACTCTCTCATGTCGCGGTCCTACACTCTTACTATAGCTTAATAAATTGGCATCCTAGATTGTCATTTTCTTTTTCAAGCTAAGCTTTTGCAGTCAGTCCTCAAAAGCTCTACCAAACCTTGAAACAGAACAAACCTAAATTTCAGGACCTGAGAAGCTAAGAAGGAATCCCTGACACTTGTCAACCACACATTTTGAGTCTCAGCTTTATACTGTTAGGAGAAATGTGAGAAGTAGGGGTTAAAGGATCAATCAACCTTGGTGTACATTAAACTTTTGTTGGAGTCACGGAACACTTCAAAGATTTGATGAGAATTAAGGCCCCTCCTCCCAGAAAAAGTGTACAAAAAAATTTCATTTTCAGGAGGTCCACCTTTGGATTCCATGTCCTCAGATTGACAGAACATTGATTTTCAAATTCTGACTTCTAAATTATATTAAAAATAAATAATAAATAAACGACTCGGTGACAAGCCCTTAAAAGAACTTCCCTAAAATGGTCGTTGACTGAAAATGATAGGAAAGTTCCCATTTCTTACCAACCTGAATGAGTACGCATATGTCTAGTTAGATGAGTCTTCTGAGAACTTGAGTAAGGACAAAGTTCACATTTATATGGGCGTTCTCCTGCAAATTTCAATAATGAAGAGTGTTTAAATGTCACAAAATAAGCCAAATACAATTCTTACTAACAATGCAACAATATTCAGTGCTCAGCACATTTTAACAAGAATTTTTTTTTTTCCTATTTCTGGCAAAAAGATCAATTTATCATGTATTTAAAATGTAAGTTATTTATTTCAGAAACTATGACTACATTATTTTGGCTTTGCTGACAAAAAAACATTGACTTTCTGAATTCTCAAAGCCCTTTTAATTTTCACAGTGATACTGCATGTTAATACATTAAGTAGTGAGAAGTGAAAAACTATCTTTATAAGGTACAAAGCATATTTTTGTTATATAAGATTCACCTTTTAAAAAAGTCTACCCCAGGCCGGGCGCGGTGGCTCAAGCCTGTAATCCCAGCACTTTGGGAGGCCGAGACGGGTGGATCACGAGGTCAGGAGATCGAGACCATCCTGGCTAACACGGTGAAACCCCGTCTCTACCAAAAATTACAAAAAACTAGCCGGGCGACATGGCGGGCGCCTGTAGTCCCAGCTACTCGGGAGGCTGAGGCAGGAGAATGGCGTAAACCTGGGAGGTGGAGCTTGCAGTGAGCTGAGATCCGGCCACTGCACTCCAGCCTGGGTGACAGAGCAAGACTCCGTCTCAAAAAAAAAAAAAAAAAAGTCTACCCCAACTGTCTGATGCTACTAACACTGTTTTTTTTTTTAACTTGTAAATGACGAATCTACTACCATTTGAAAGTGTTAGCTTAAAACAATAATACTTTTGAGTGAGAATGTAATTGCTTTATGCTAAAAATTTTCAAGTGGTAGAGTTCCAGACCAGACTGGGCAATACAGCAATACCCCATTTCTAAAAATTTATTTTAAAAAACTAGCCTGGGGCTGGGCACGGTGGCTCATACCTGAAATCCCAGCACTTTGGGAGGCCGAGGCTGACAGATCACGAGGTCAGGAGTTCAAGACCAGCCTGGCCAACATAATTAAACCCCACCTCTACTAAAAATACAAAAAAAATAGCCGGGCACGGTGACATGTGCCTATTGTCCCAGCTACTCAGGAGGCTGAGTGAGTCAGGAGAATCGCTTGACCCCGGGAGGTGGAGGTTGCAGTGAGTGAGACCTCATCTCATTAAAAATAAAAATTTAAAAAAAAAAGCCTGGGCTGAGCATGGGGATTGAGGCCCCCAACTGTAACCCCAACACAAGGTCAAGACAGGTCAACCACTTGAGCCCAGGAGTTCAAGACTAGCCTGGGCAACATAGCAAGACCTCCTCTCTACAAAAAACAGAAAAATTAGCTAGGTGTGGTGGCGCATGCCTGTGGTCCCCGCTACTTGGGAGGAATGAGATGGGAGGATTGCTTGAGCCCAGGAAGGACGAGGCTAGTGTGAGTCATGATTGTACCACTGTGCTCCAGCCTGGGTGAAAGTGAGACCCCATAGTCTCACTTGGGAGGCTGAGGCAGGATGATCACTTGAGCCTAGAGTTTGAGGTTGCAGTGAGCTATGATGGCACCACTATACTCCAGCCTCGAGTATAGAGAGAGATCCTGTCTCTAAAAGTAAAAATAAATAAAAAACAGTAAGTTAAAAAGAAAAATGTAAGAGAAGATCATCAATTTTCTTTTTATTGTTTTTTATGAGACAGGGTCTCACTCTGTCGCCCAGACTGGAGTGCGGTGGTGTGAACATAGCTCCTGCAGCCTGGAACTCCTGGGCTCAACAGATCCTCCCACTTCAGCCTCCTAAGTAGCTGGGACCACAGGTGTGGCAACCAAGCCCAGGTAATTTTTTTTTTTTTTTGGTAGAGACCAGGTTTTGCCATGTTGCCCAGACTGGTCTCTAACCCCTGGGCTTAAGCAATCTACCTGTCTTGGCCTCCCAAAGTGCTGGGATTACAGGCATAAGCCACCATGCCCAACCAGTTACCAATTTTTAAAACAAATTACAAAAGTTACAGGGACTGAAGACTAGAAGCCAGTGATTTAATACGGAATAATTTTAAGACTCAAAGGTAGGACATGTATATTCTTTTTAGACACGGCTATCAACAACAAAACAAGGTTTTTTTGTTTTTTTTTTTGAGACGGAGTCTCGCTCTGTTGTCCATGCTAGAGTGCAGTGGCGAGATCTCAGCTCACTGCAAGCTCCGCCTCCTGGGTTCACACCATTCTCCTGCCTCAGCCTCCCGAGCAGCCGGGACTACAGGCGCCCGCCACCATGCCTGGCTAATTTTTTTTGTATTTTTAGCAGAGACGGGGTTTCACCTTGTTAGCCAGGATGGGCTCGATCTCCTGACTTCGTGATCCACCCGTCTCGGCCTCCCAAAGTGCAGGAATTACAGGCGTGAGCCACCACACCCGGCAAAACAAGCTTTTAAAAAAAGGTGTACAATTTGTTTTAATATAGTCTCCAGACACAAGATAATTATGACCTTGGTAAAGTTACTAAAACACCCCATTTCCCCATCTGCGAAAGTAACAGAATCTTCATTCCCTGTAATTGCAAAAGTTTAAATAATACATGCAGAGCATTTAACACTGTGTCTGGCACATAGTAAAGCCCTCAATAAATGTCAGCTATCAATTTTGTCTAAGACAGAAACAAATGTGTCTAATAAAATAAGGAAAAGGTGGTACACAGAAAACAAGAATAGGCCAGGCATGGTGGCTCATGCGTGTAATCCCAGCACTCTGGGAGGCAGGCGGATCGTTTGAGCCCAGAAGGTGGAGGCTTCAGTGAGCCGTGATCATGCCACTGCACTCCACACAGGGCAACAGAGCGAGACCCTGTCTCAAAACAAAAAACAAACAACAACAACAAAAGGAATGGTGATAGGTGGGAAATGTGTTCCTAGTAACTATTCTTCCGTAATTCGCTGGTAGCTATGTATTAGCTGTAAAGAGCTGGTAGCAACAGAATGCCTACCTTATGACCTGGAACAATCAAGATAGTTTTACATTAATGGAATTCTGTAAAAAAGGGATATACAAATAGCCAATAAACACATGAAAAGATGAACATTATCATTAGCTGTGAGGGAAACGCAAATCAAAACAATATGAGATGAAGACTTCATACCCACTAGGATAGCTGTAATCACAAAGACAGATGTTAACAATATTATTGCTGAGGATGTGCTGAAATTGGAACCCTCACACATTGCTGGTGGGACTGTAAAATGGCATGGCTAATTTGGAAAACAGTTTGGCAGTTACCCAAAATGTTGCTACTATACTGCCCCACAATCTCACTCTTAGGTATACATCCAAAAGAAACAAAAACATATGTCCACACCACACTTAAACATGAATATTCATAGCAGTGTTATTCAGATTGCATATTATGATGCCACTTATATGAAATATTCAGAATAGGCCAAGCTATAGTGAACTGTATATGTAAACTGTATCTCAATGAAGTTGGAAAAAATTAAATACCATTGCAGATAAACTTGAAGAATCAAAAATAATTTACTTTTAAATTCTTTTGTTTTATTATTTTTTGAGACAGAGTCTCATTCTGTCGCCCAGGCTGGAGTGCAGTGGCACGATCTTGGCTCACTGCAACCTCTGCCTCTCGGGTTCAAGCGATTCTCCTGCCTCAGTCTCCCAAGAAGCTGGGACTTCTTGTATTTTTAGTAGAGACAGGGTTTCACCATGCCAACCAGGCTAGTCTCGAATTCCCAACCTCAGGTGATCTGCCTGCCTCCCAAGGCGCTGGGATTATAGGCATGAGCCACCTCATCCAGCCTGCTTTTAAATACTTTACAACAGATGACTTTATCTGTGTAATTCCACAAACTAGGCATAACTCTCCTCTAGAAAGCTTAGTTACCTACAGATTTTTCAGTTACACATACAGGCAAAAAGGTTTTCTTTAAAAGTAGATTTTGTGAACTAGTTAAATAACAAAACCACTAAACTAAAGAGGTCAACCTGAATGAAAGTAATCCCCAGCTCCCAACCTCCCCTGGTTTTGGTGGAGGCTGCAGTGAGTGGAGATTGCTGAACTTTAAATGCTACTTTTGTTTTTGGGTTTTTTTGAGACAGAGTCTCATTCTGTCACCCAGGCTGGAGTGCAGATGTGCAATCTCGACTCACTGCAACCTCCACCTCCCAGGTTTAAGCGATTCTCCTGCCTCAGCCTCCCAAAGTGCTAGGATTACAGACGTGAGCCATCGTGGAAGGCTTTAAATGTGATACTTGTATATGACCTTGGGAACATCACTTCAGGCTTTTAAATCTGAAGTTTTCCCCTCTGCAAACATGAACTATCATCACAGATGCTATTTTCCTCAATGGATTGTTCTGAAGATTAGCACAGAAAAGAAGACAGCACCTAACACTGGGCACAAGAAACACAATTAAGCCCATTAAGTCAATCAGAAAACTGGGCTACTTACAAGTGGAAATGAGAATTCCTGAACACTATCAGTTTAAGTGATTCCTGTCTTTTCTACTCTTCCGCACCAGATGAATTTATTTTCCATAATTTTCAGAACTATCCATTTAATACAAGAGATACTTTCAGAATTTACATAGTCAAAATATTAACCTTCAATCTATACATCACCCAATTGTTTTAAAATGTAAAAAAAGGCCAGGTTCAGTGGCTCACGCTTGTAATTCCAGCACCCTGAGACGCCGAGGCGGGCTGATCACAAGGTCAGGAGTCTGAGACCAGCCTGGCCAACACAGTGAAATCCTGTCTCTGTTAAAAAATTTTTTAAAAATTAGCTGGGCGTGATGGCACGCACCTGTAATCCCAGCTACTCGGGAGGCTGAGGCAGGAGAATTACTTAAGCCTGGGAGGCGGAGGTTGCAGTGAGCCGAGATCGCGCCATTGCACTCCAGCCCGAGCAACAGAGCAAGACTCCGTCTAAAAAAAATACACACACACACACACACACACACATATACATACATAAAAAACTGGATGAACACAGTGGCTCATGCCTGTAATCTCTGGGAGGCCGCGGTGGGCATATCACTTGAGGCCAGGAGTTTGAGACCAGCCTGACCAACATGGAGAAACCCCATCTCTAATAAAAATACAAAATTAGTCAGGTGTGGTGGCACATGCCTGGAATCCCAGCTACTCAGGAGGCTGAGGCAGGAGAACTGCTTGTACCTGGGAGGCGGAGGTTGCAGTGAGCCAAGATTGCGCCACTGCACTCCAGCCTGGGTAACAAGAGTAAAACTCTGTCACAAAAAAAAAAAAAAAAAAAGAATCAGAATGAAGGTAATACCGGGGAAAAATAAGCATTAAGACCAAATAAACCAGGCATGGTGGCTCATGCCTGCAAACCCAGCACTTCATTAGGCTGAGGTGGGCAGATCACCTGAGGTCGGGAGTTCAAGACTAGCCTGGGCAACATGGGAAACCACATCTCTACTGAAAATACAAAAATTAGCCGGGCATGATGGAAGGCACCTGTAATTCCAGCTAAATGAATATGATGTACTTATTTATGAGTTTAGTATACATGATGGCTAGGATTTAAGATATTGTAGGTGAGGCTGGTTTAGTCTAACAATTTGTCTAATTCAAACTGTCAAGTGATTAATGGGGTTGTATCCCCAAATAACTTTCATTTCCTACTCTACATGTTTTTGTAATGCTTGACCTTTACTTCTGAAATCAAATGATTTCAAAGCATGGAGACAATCACAGGTTATGACGAATTCCAAAGGGACTACAAATTCTTTTACTGGACTAAATTTTAAAGCATTCAACACATGAGCCATCCATCTGCTGGGGCCTAGCAATCTTGCAACAGAGGTCATTCTTGTAATGGAATCTCACCTGCAAGTTTTATTGTTTAAGCCTACCACTTAATAGTTTCAAGTCTTTGGGATGTAAAAAATAACTAAATAAAATAAATTTTTAAAAATTAAGTCGGCTGGATATGGTGGCTCACACCCATAATCCCAGCACTTTGGGAGACTGAGGGCAGATTACTTGAGTTCAGGAGTTAGAGACCAACCTGGGCAACATGGCAGAAACCCTATATCTACAAAAAATACAAATATTTAGCCAGGTGTGGTGGCATGCATCTATGGTCCCAGCTACTTGGGGGACTGAGGCAAGAGGGTCACTTGAGTCCAAGAGGTCGAGGGTGCAGTGAGCAGTGATCACGCCACTGCACTCCAGGATGGGTGACGAAGTAAAGCTATCTCAAAAAAAAAAAAAAAAAAAATTGGCCAGGTGCAGTGGCTCACACCTGTCATCCCAGCACTTTGGGAGGCTGAGGTGGGTGGATCACGAGGTCAGGAGTTTGAGATCAGCCTGGTCAACGTGGTGAAACCCTGTCTCTACTAAAAATACAAAAACTTAGCTAGGCATGGTGGTGGGCGCCTACAATCCCAGCTACTCGGGAGGCTGAGGCATGAGAACTGCTTGAACCTGGGAGACAGAGGTTGCAGTGAGCCAAGACCATGCCATTGCACTCCAGGCCTGGGCAACAGAATGACACTCCGTGTCAAAAAAAAAAAAAAAAAAATTAGCCAGACACAGTGGTGGGCGACTATAATCCCAGCTACTTGGGAGGCTGAGCCAGGGAGGTGGAGGCAGGAGAATCGCTTGAACCCTGAGGCAGAGGTTACACTGAGCCGAGATCGTGCCACTGCATTCCAGCCTGGGAAACAGAGTCAGACTCCCTCTCAAAAAAAAAAAAAAAAAAAAAAAAGTTTCAACTTTTTTTATACAGTTGCGCTTAGTATGAGTTCAAACATGCTAAACACAATTGTCTGAAAAATACATTTTCTACATGTGTTTGCTTTCATGGGAAAATAGTTTCAATTGGTGATAATCCCACCCATGTTTTAAAAACTATCTTCTCACATTTCTTTTTTGTGGACAAAGACAAGTTGTTCCATTTAGGAACTCAATGCTATAAGTCAAATGTTTCCAAGTTTGAGGCTTTTGTTAAGTGGAGATATGCAAGGTTAATCACTGAGTTTTCCTTTTTATATAAGCCCTCAATTCCTTTCAGAAACTATACTGCATCTTAAATGTGTTCACTGTCACAGAAATAAATATAGAAACTTTTTTTTTCTGTTTTCTTTTTGAGACGGGGGTCTTTCCATGTTTCCCAGACTAGTCTAGAACTTCTGGGCTCAGGTAGTCCTTCCGCCTTGGCCTCCTGAAGTGATGGAATTACAGGCATGAGCCACCATGCACGGCCAGTCTAATTTGCTGAAGGTAAATCCCAAGTTAGGATATGTACTTTAGGAAGAGCATGGTAAGATCTCTTGGCTGTTTCTCCCAGGTAACATTCTGTGCTTTACGTGTAACTTCACATAATCCTCCCATCCCAGATATTGTTACTCCATGGAGAAATTTCTGAATAAAGAGGTTAAACAACTTGTGCAAGGTCACAAAGATAGCAAAAATGGAACCTGGATTTGAACCAGAGTCCTTTTTCTCAAGCACCACCTAACCACTCAAGTAACAATCAGAAAAGAGAACTGAACTTAAGGACTAGAAAGCTTCTCTTACCTGTATGAGTTCTAACATGCTGAACATAATTGTTTTTTCTGTCTGAAAAATAGTTGCATTTTCCACATGTGTACACTTTCCTTGGAAAATGGTTTCTTAAATGTTTCCTCCAGTGATACTCGCTCACTGTTGTGTATGTACAAATGATGCACTTGTAGACTCGCTCATTATCCCCAGCTCTGGTGTGGTGTTTCAGGTGTGCAGTATAGTGATCATATCGATTGGTATTGTAGCCGCAGCGGTCACAGCGAATGGGGCCCTTGGAGAAATCTCCCTCTTCTGCAGTGGAAGAGCCAGATTCCCTGGCTTTTGCCTGCTTCTCCGCACTCTCTTCCACAAAAAATTTCTTAGCACTGTGAACTCTGATGTGATGCACAAACTGTTCTTCAGATTCTGCTTCATACTGGCATGGCTTACAGCGAAAGGGTTTGGTCTTCGAGCTCTTGCCTTTGTCCTCTGCTCCAGGTGTTTCAGGAGAAAGATCTTTATTTGAGCTGTAAACCTCTGGAGCACCTGATGCCTCAAATACAGGCTGAGGTTCTACAACACTGAGTTCCAAACTTCTCAGTTCCATGTTTTCCAGTCCATGAGGTTCACCTTTTATTTCAGCAGACTCTTCAAGTCCTTCTCCTTCTTCACTATCTGAAAAGTTGTTATCCCCAACAGGCATCAATTCTGCCATCTGTCTTTCTTCACCGACCAGGTAATCACAGCAGCTGCCATTTACTTCCCCAGTTAAGGCTACATTTGCCAGCATAATAAGCTGAGGTGCGGCCAGTTCAGCTTTGGAAAGGTCATGCAAGTCATACATGTCGTTAGGCAAGGCCATTCCAATGTTGCCACTGCTGGTAAACAGCCCTCCTCCTCCAGAAGACTGCCCCATTACCTGGGTGGCCATAACTGTATTCTGAATTAAAAACAAAACAAAACAAGAGCACCAGTTTAAACACTGCTGTTACTGGCTTAAAACCACATCACTGTAAATCTTCATAACTTAAAAATTTTCCAATATGATCTTTATAACTCAGTAAACTTCATCACCTATTAAAAACAAATCTTTAAAACAGCAGTTAATTCCCAATAGTCTTTATGGCAATCACCAAAAAAAAAATGTCTACTATCCCTAGAAAACAATTCTACCAATTGTTTGACGTAACTCATTCACCATCCAGCCACTGGCATGTGGTCCCTCAAGCACTTTTAATTGTTCTGGTGGGGATAAAAAGTAACCTTCATTTTTACTGCTAAAATTACTCCAAAAATTCAAAACATTAGTAAATTATTGTCCTCCCAACTTTTCCCCCCTTCAACAGTTCAATGGTCTGAATCAGAAAGCCCAGAAATCCACAAGCCATTCAGTGCATTTATTAAGTACACAAACACATCTGGAAAGTAGAAGCCTGCAATAATTGTTCAACTTAATTGGATTTCGCATGAACTCAACTAACTCCAAAAGAATAAACTACTGTGAAAAACTACCACTACCAGTCAGTCCCTTAATTTTTCGACAACTCCACAGGCTTAAAAGGAAAAACATTACGGACCCCTTTTCTTGTGAAAAAGGAAGTTTGATTTATTCAAAACTTCACAAATAAAAATTAATAAGCTTATTTTTCTGCAGGCTGAAGTTCCATAACACTGAATTCCAAGCTTTTCAATATGAATAAAATCATCGTGGAACTCAACTCGACAATCAGCAACTTTCTTGCATTGTGCTTGACTTGGCCTACTTGCCTAGTGGAAGCCATTACAAGATCACCTTCTTGAAAACAAGTTGGGCTTTCTAAATGCTACGTTACTTCTCAATCTAAAAGGTGCCATTCTCAAACGAAGTGTTCACTTGCAAATTAAAAGAAGTATCAAGTTCTAAGAAAATAAAGTTAAACCGAAAATACAAAAAGTAATCCGCCTCATCCAAGTGTATAAACACAAACCGGTTTAGTTCTACGTACCAACAAAAGTTGGAAGCAAATGCCATCACAGAAAACAGGGCGAAGGCTGTCCTGGGGCTGAACAGCCCAAGCTACTCGGCAATTTGGCCCAACATCGACTTTTCTAGTCGCTCCCTACCCCCTAACTGCCACCCCAAATGGAATTTTAACGATTGTTAGGAAGACAGTCCAAGCACAGCCCGAAAGCCCAACATGCCGCACGAATTCCTCCGTGCTGCTGCCACCAGCGCCTGCCTCGGCGGCGGCATTCCTAACTGAAATAGGCATTCGGCCATTTTCTCAAAATACCAAACACAAAGCAGCTCTTTGCAAACTCGGGCGCTCTCGCTTCCTCTCGCCTCGGCCCGCTCACTGCACATATTTACACATCAACTCGCGGGAGTCGCCCTGACACTCGTCCCGAGCCTTTTCCTGCGCTCTCCAACACTAAAACGGGGGAAGGGAGCAAGCTCGGGACGCTGTTTGGCCGGACCGAGTCCTCCCGGAGTCCAGGCAACCCCCTCCCCAGCCCTAGGGCCCCCGTCCCGAGAAAGAACGGAAAGTTACCGCGCAGCCGGCGTCTGGGCTTCTCCGACCTCCCCCGGGCCCCTCCGACCGCCCCGGGACTCGCCCAACGCCCAGGGCCGGGGAGGCTCCGCGGGCGCCCTCGCCAGGCGTCGGGCTCCGAGCACCGGAGAGGGCCCCCACGCGGGCCAGCCGCCGCCCCCGCTCCCCGGAAGTTTGCGAACTTCACTCCCCCACGGCGCCCGGCAGGACGCGCGCCCCAGCCCCGCCAGCTCCAGCGGTCGGGTAGCCGGACGCGGGGGCCAGCGGCGCCGGGCGGCCGAAGCGTAGAAATCGCTGTCCAGCCCCGCTTGCGGAACCGCCCGGGCCCCGGGGCTGACTCAACCCGCCCGGCCGCACTCAACGGCGCCTTCCGGCGACAGGGAGAAGCCCTGGGGGAGGGGACCAGGAGGGCCGCGGGCCGGCGCGGGGCTGCGGTGGGACCCGGGGGCAGGAGAAGGAAGCAGAGGAAGTTTCAGGACTAGGGGCCCGAGCAGCTCCGCTCCTTGGTCTCAGAGGACCCGACTCGGAGGAGCGTCCGGTCAGCGCGGAGGCGGCGTCCCGGCCTCCAGTGGGGAGGGGGTCCAGGCGACGCGCCGCTCCCAACAAACGCCCCCAGCCCCCGGGCGGCGGCTGTGTAACCCGATCCTGCTCGGCCGCCAGCCCCCGCCCGGCGCGGCCGCCGCCGCCGGAGCCACAGTATCTGCAAATCAGCCCTGGACAGCGCCTGGCTCCTCGTCCTTCCGCGCCCTCCCCCTCCCGCCACCGCCGCCACCCGGCCGGCCCTCCCCCAACCCTGACCGAGCCCCCAGCCCCGCGCCGCACTTACCGGCCTTCCTCGGGGAGGAGGGGCGGGCGACCCCAAGTCGCCGCTCCTTCTCCTACTACTTTTCTTTGTTGCTGGAGTTTCGCGGGAGGGGTGGGGGAGGGCGGAAAAGTTGGGTGCTGGGGCCGTCGAGGACCAAGAAGGCCAAAGAGTGGGGCTACAGAGGGTGCTCAGACCTCCGGGCCTCGCCCTGCCGTCTCGGCTGCCGCCGCCGGGGTCTGGGGCCCCGGGCCTCGGCGGCGCTCGCTCCGCTGCTGCGCCGCGAGCTCGCGGGAGCCGCACATTCCAACACAGGACGCTGCACCGCGCACCCAGTCCGCGTCGCCGCCGCCGCCGCCGCCGCCGCCGCCGCCGCCGCCCGCGGGACACGCCCCCTCCGACGCCCGCGCGCGCCCGCGAGACACGCCCCCTCCGACGCCCGCGCGCGTGGCCGCTAGGCGCGCCCCGCCCCCCGACCAAGCAGGGAGTGCCCCAGTCTCCAGCCCGCCTGGGGGCGCGTCTAGGGGGAGCCGCCCGTAATCCTCGCTGCCCCTCACTCCTGCCCTTAGGTCAGAAAAGAGGCGGGCCCCACTCCCTTTCTCGATTTCTTTTACAAACAAACAACAAAAGTTCCCCCCAGCCCTGGCGTGCATGCATGAGAATAGAGCTGTTAAAAGAAGAATCCGCAGGCTTTGACTGGTCTCTTTAGAGCTATTGTCACCGGCCTCTCAAGTATAAAGCGCTCCAAGATACCCTTCAGATCTTTTCAAGTCTCCACCCATAGCTATCCTTGACTAATTAAGCTTCGTTTTAAGCATTTGCGGTTAAAAAAAAAAAAAAAGCCTTCCAAATTTCAAACTTCCGGAGGGGGAATGTAGTCAGTTTGGAAGACGTGAGAAGACGTTTCGGGAAGGCGGTTACGGACTCAGAAAGTGAGCGTGAGGACTGAGGGGACAGATCCCTAGACGTAGTAGGTTGCAAGTCATTGCTGAGCCCGGAAAGCACGACTACAGGGGAGGAATTACCCTCAGGTGACAGAAGAAAAGGTGCTGAGGACGGGGAGGCTGCCTGGAACCACGTTGTGTCGGAGTAACCCGGCTCACGTCTATGAAGCGGGATAACGAAGCGGAATGCCTGGCCCATAGTCATGTGCTGAGAAAAACAAAAACAAACAACAGGAACAGAGAGAGAAAGAGTAATTCCACCCCCTTTCTCACCTGAAATAGCTTCTCCAGTCTGCCTTTGAAACACCTTCCTAAATGTCATAAGTCACACCTGTCCTCAGAAGCATAATGGCTCCCCATGACTACCAACTTAAAGCTTAAACCTCTTAGTGTGGCGTTCAAGCCCCTACTTAACTTGACCTAGATAAGCCTATTGCTGGTATTAGAACATAAGTAGCAAGTGCTATGGGGGTTTGCCAGTAGGGAGATGGATCCCAAGAGGTTCTAGAAACTCTTCACAGTAGACGCATTCTGTCTGAACTTGGAGAATGAGGAAAACTTCAACAGGTGGAAAGTAGGGCAAGGAACACTCTACACTGTGAAAAGGGCAAGCTCAAAATCTCAAAGCAGTTGTTAAGACATCCCAGCTTCTCCTCAGGGTACCTCACTTCCTTCTCTTTGAAGTTCCTTTATTTGTTTCTCTTGGGGCAGGGCTTCCAGACTCTTCATTTCCTGGTATACCCACATAGGACCTCTGTTTCCCTCTATCTGGACAATATATTACTAATTAATGCAGTCTCCGATGCAAGATGAAATGAAGACCCTAAGGTGCTCGGCCACCAAAAGTTTCAGTGAGGCGATTTCAAATGTAAGACCTCTCCATGAATCAAACCTGAAAAGTACTCATTTTCATTCAACCAAAGAGACAGGAAGGAAGGGAGGAAGGGAGGAAAGGAAGATCAACATTTTTAGGACTGGTACAAACTTTTCTATATATATTTTATTTGTTTAACTAAAATCGAATTTGAGGTCACATGGCTTTTTTGGATGCTGTAGCCCAGGCTACAGTTCAGGTCTCTACCAAGGTTGTCAAAGACATAAACTTGTTTTCTTTCCCTTTTTTGTGTCCAAAAAGGCAAAAATGAAATATCTCTTGTTAAACTTGCTAAACGTCCTTCATTTCCTCATTCTGCTTACTGGAAATGTCTTATTAATTGCAAATTTATTCCCACATATTGTGATGCAAATAGAAGAATGGCAAACGGGCAGCTGCATTCATTTAAAATTAGTAGAGGCCCTTGTTCAAGGGATGGCATATTGAGAGTGACCCAAATTATCATGACATGAAGGCCACAGGTCAAATTCAAGGCCAAATTACAAATCAATAGAAAATTTCCTTGGGGGAAGCTGTTACTATGAACTTGAATTCCTAATTGTTTTTCAAAAGTCTGTATTTTACTTTGCTGTATCCAAACTTTAGGATTTTCTGCAAGATAAAAACTTTGAGAATGAGTTCTGCTTTTCTTATATGGTTTTTGTCCTGCATATTTAACTTGTCGATTTTTTTATTTTAATTATCATATGTTCTTAATAATATTTCTCTAGAGATTTATTTCTTTCTTTTCTTTTTTTTTTTTTTTTTTTGCAAGACAGAGTTTCGCTCTTGTTGCCCAGGCTGGAGTGCAATAGTGCGATCTCGGCTCACCGCAACCTCCGCCTCCCAGGTTCAAGCAATTCTCCTGCCTCAGCCTCCCGAATAGCTGGGATTATAGGCATGCGCCACTACGCCAAGCTAATTTTGTAGTTTTAGTTAGAAACGGGGGTTTCTCCATGTTGGTCAGGCTAGTCTCGAACTCCTGGCCTCAGGTGATCTGCCTGCCTCAGCTTCCCAAAGTGCTGGAATTACAGGCGTCAGCCACGGCACAGGGCCAATTATATATATATATAATATATATATTTTTTTCTTTTCTTTTCTTTTTTTTTTTTCAAGACAGAGTCTTGCTCTGTCGCCCAGGCTGGAATGCAAAGGTGCGATCTCGGCTCACTGCAACCTTCACCTCCCGGGTTCAAGCGATTCTCCTGCCTCAGCCTCCCGAGTAGCTGGGATTACAGGCACGTGCCACCTCGCCTGGCTAATTTTTGTATTTTCAGTAGAGACGGGGTTTCACCATGTTGGCCAGGCTGGTCTTGAACTCCTGACCTCAGATGATCCACCTGCCTGGGCCTCCCAAAGTGCTAGGATTACAGGTGTAAGCCACTGTGCCCGGCCGGCCAATTATATATTTTTTAAAGTTCAGTATACCTGGTCTGCCTAATTTCTTCTCTATATCTCTCCTTTGCCTTCTATAGAGACCCACCAACAGGCCCTGAGCTACACTGGCTTCAAGATTGATGGTATCTGAAGACAGACAGATTAAAGGCCTGGTCTAGTCCTGTTTGATTGTTTGATGCAGCATCATCTACTCTTTTTTTCTTTTTTTTTTTTTTGATAGGGAGTCTCGCTCTGTTGCCCAGGCTAGAATGCAGTGACAAGATCTTGGCTCACTGGAACCTCAGGCCTCGTGGGTTCAAGCAATTCTCCTGCCTCAGCCTCCCAAGCAGCTGAGATTACAGGCACCTGCCAGGACGCCCAGCTAATTTTTGTATTTTAGTAAAGATGGGATTTCACCATGTTAGTCAGGCTAGTCTCGAACTCCTGACCTCAAGTGATCCACCCGCCTCAGCCTCCCAAAGTGCTGGGATTACCTGTGTAAGCCACTGAGTCCAGCCAGCATCATCTACTCCTGCTGCTGGTTGGACTCTGACCTCGTTCTGGTTCTGATAACTGGAATAGTGTCTTATTCATTATAGGCATCAACAGCTTGAGCCAGGGAGGTGTTCCCTACATGCTGAGAAGGGAAAGAGGTGAACAAGAGAACTTGAGACTTAAGCTGGGTTCCTTCCTGCCTTCTTTTGAAGCCTAGATCACATTTGGAACTACTCTCTCCATTGTTCTCTTCCCGCCAGCCACTCTGGCCTCCTTGAACCGTGGCTAGTCTTCTAACTCAGATCCATTGCTTTGCTTGCTGTTCCTCTTTTGAAAGACTATCCAGGGGCTGGGCGTGGTGGCTCATGCCTGTAATCCCAGGGCTTTGGGTAGGCCCAGGCAGGCAGATCATGAGGTCAGGGGTTCGAGACCAGCCAGGCCAACATGGTGAAGCTCCGTCTCTACTAAAGATACAAAAAATTAGTGGGGAGTGGTGGTGCATGCCTGTAATCCCAGCTACTTAGGAGGCTGAGGCAGGAGAATCACTTGAACCTGGGAGGCGGAGCGTGCAGTGAGCCAAGATCGTGCGATTGCACTCCAGCCTGGGAGACAGGGCAAGACTCTGTCAAAAAAAAAAAAAAAAGAAAGAAAGAAAAGAAAAGAAAGGAAAGGAAAGGAGGGGAGGGGAGGGGAGGAGAGGGGAGGGGACGACGGGAGGGGAGGGGAGGGGAAGGGACTACCCAGGCAGTGGTTTACACCTGTAATCCCAGCACTTTGGGAGGCCAAGGCAGGCGGATCACAAGGTCAGGAGATCAAGACGATCCTGGCTAACATGGTGAAACCCCGTCTCTACTAAAAATACAAAAATTAGCCAGGCGTGGTGGCAGGCGCCTGTAGTCCCAGCTACTCAGGAGGTTGAGGCAGGAGAATGGCATGAACCTGGGAGGCGAAGCTTGCAGTGAGCCAACATCGCACCACTGTACTCCAGCCAGGGCAACAGAGTGAGACTCCGTCTCAACAACAACAACAACAAAAAGACTATCCAGGACCTCTCCATCACTGCTGCTCATCCCTTCCCCTCCTTGACGCAAATGTCATTTTCTCAGCGGCCATACTATTTAAAATTATAACCCTCTCCCATTTTCATCCAGTCCTGATGCCCTTCCCTGCTGTTTCTGTCTCTAGCATTTATTACTAACTTGCTA